ATAATAATGTATGCACATAGTAATAAAACATTGCTGATAATAACTACCAAAATATAAAAAACCTCAACACAGTGGAACGTGAGTTCTGATTTTTTTTTTCTAATTTCTCCTGTTCTAAAAGATGAAGTGTTTGTTGTGTTCAAAAGAACTTGGATAGCCTACAACAGACACCATCCATCTAAAAAAAAGGAACTTGAAAAAGTGGAAAAAAATGGAAAACTTGTTTTTAAGAACAAAGTAATAAAAATGTGTCTCCAATATCATCAGCACCATCAAAAATCACACAAGCACATTCACGTCAACACTATTTCCATGTTTTTCTTCATGCGCTTTCCTTTGTGAACCAGTTAGTCCAACAAAAACAGAGACAGAGACTAAAATCAYATTCAAATCAAAGTTTGACTTTATTTGTGGTCATTATAAAAACACAAACACATTTTCTTTGACAACTTAAAGCTTCATAAACAAGTCATGTCTTTATAAACTAGTTCACACTTATTGCCCACATGATGACGCAGTAGAACAAATGAAGCATGATGATGCTTCGACTCGTGTGGACCAGTTGGATGGAAGGCTTCAGTGCATCATGAAGCTTCATCTCACCATCACTAGTTCACATTAGTCACAATATTCAGTACATTTATGTCCATACAAATAAACAAAATACAAATAAATACCTCGTTGGCTGCCTACTATGAAAGAGAATCCTCAGTCCTGTACTTCAGGCTTTCCCATCAGTCTTTTACTTCAGGATTTTTGGTATTTCCATTTGGCACCAGCCTTTCCACAACATGTCTGAGCTGAGTTCCCCAAACAGCTACCTTGCTACTCTAATTAAGCTGTCACAGGCTGAGCAGCTCATCAATATTTTCAAAATAAAGGAACCCTTTTTCTCATAACTTCACACAAAATAATCTGGTAATTGCTAAAAAGTGAGACAACAGTTACAGTAGCCAAGAAACAATCTTTAACAAAATCCAAATTCAAACACAAAATCCAAGATTGCCACTAAAGCTATATTTTAAATGGATACAAATCAGCCGTTTTTAGAAATATTTAGCTGAAATTTGGCATGATTGGAGCCAAGCGCAATCCCACTGACACTCTGAAAGCTTATTTAAATTTTAAGCTGAGGGTGTAGTGTGTGAGACCAGAAGTCCCACACACAACGAGGGAAGGATGTTCCTTGAGTCTGGTGCCTTAGGCCACTCGGCCATCCTGACAACTGTGTGTTTGTGTTCAGTAACGTTCCATAAATATAAATCACTGTCAGGAAGCAGAAACACAGACGCCACATTCTCCAATAAACAAAGTAAACAAACTCAGTTAAGCCCCGCCCACATTTTCATGATGCCAATTGAATTGAAAATTCAAGATGGCCGCTACAGCTAGTTTCAAATGGGTCTAAATCAGCTTTTTTTTGGAAATATTGTGCTGAAATTTTGTGTGATTGTAGCTAAGAATGCCAAATGCTAGTTCCAATAAAAGTTAACCGCCCACATTTTGATGATGTCATGTTGATCTCTGAAAGTTTCAACTTGACTGTGAAAATCTTACAAACATAATCTAAATCCTGTAAAACTAAACAATCAGCTGTGATGTCAACAACAGTGTCATGATGTTGTTTGTTTGTTTGTTTGTTTGTGTGTTTGTTTGTGTGTTTCAGGCCAAGATAGAAGGAACCATCTGGGCAGAAATCGATGATCTGGAGGTTTTCAAAGTTCTGGATCTGGCGGAGATCGAGAAGACGTTTTCAGCTTACCAACGTCCAGCGGTAAGAGTTTGAGGCAGAAAAGATGAAATGTATAGTTGTGTGTTACATTTGTGTGTGTATGTGTGTGTGTGTAGAAGGAGATTGGGGAGGAGGCGTCTATGAAGAAAGTGAAGGAGCTGTCAGTGATCGACGGCCGGAGAGCTCAGAACTGYAACATCCTGCTGTCACGGTCAGTTTCTAAAGCTGGTTGTGAGTCTGCGGCGCACATTTGTGTGCATGTGTGTGTGTTTAAGTGTAAACTAGGTGTGTTAAACTCATTTTCATCCAAGACCAAATGATTTCCTTGGTTGTAATTTGGTGTTTAACTTCAAYTAAACTAGAAATGTCATGTTCCTGAGTGCTGCTATCAAACACTAACTGAGCTCTACCTAGTATTTCCTGCATAGAAACAGTGTTTTAACTCGTCCCCTTATATACACTGAAAAGTACTACGTGTACGACTGACTAATTGTGAAATAAATATTACAGAACTACTATAAAAAGTAAAAGTAAGAATTGTAATCACTGTTSAGTTGTGATGAGTAGCTGCCATTTTGAATTCTCCCACTTTCCGATTAGGAATTCCCATTCTAGCTCCAGTTTTAATTTACGACTTATAAGTGGGAAATTCCCACTTCCTAGTACAACTGAAAAAAGCAGACAAAAATACAGCAAAATGGAGATGTAGTTTATGGTCAATGCTGGCTTTAAAGCAGCTTATTTTACGACTTCGATACATCTTTGAAGCTTTTGTGTACCACATAAAATGCAGTGGTGGGCCATTTTTGGCCCATGGGCCTTGAGTTTGATTAATGTGCTGTAGTGTTTACAGTTTGCAGTGTGTGTGTGTGTGTAGTTGCAGAATCCTGTAATCCTGAATGATCCAAGTCACAAATGTTTCTGTTTGACAGACTGAAGATGACTAACGAGGAGATCTGCAACGCCATCCTGACTATGGATGAATATGAGGAGCTGCCTAAAGACATGTTGGAGCAGGTAACACACACACACACACACACACACACACACACACACAC